TCAGACTACCAGTGCTGGTAATCTTATTATTATGTATAATTTTTATTCACTCTCCAGTGATGTCTGTGAGAACAGCCTTGCTAAATCAAACTGCTCTCAGTTCAGAGGGAAGTGTCAGAACAATGTGACTACAGAATATTTCCCTGTATGTTTTTCCAGAATTTCTGGACTATTTCTAACTCAGATTCAAGACAAAATTAGTATTTTTGGATTGATTGATTGATATTTTCTCCAAGAATATATCTGTTAATTTTGTCTATTAAGATTAAGTTTTGACGTTTGCGACGTACTGTGTCAGTGAATTCTGTGGCTTAAACAGGTAAAAATCCAGGAACTGCCTGTGATTTGGATGTCAGTTTTATTGTTTCATTTGAGACTTGGCCGTTTTATGTTATGAAAGGGTGAATAATTGTAGGCGCTTCCAGGCCATTCATAGTCCTGTAGATGTGGTCAAATTGCCTCTCATTTATTTCTTTTGCAAGTTGAATAGTTCATTTATTTGCTGCTTCTGTGAAAAATGTTTTGTTCTATTCTTCAAACACTCACATTATTCTTCTCTGTTTTATACTACTACGCTACTACTTTTTTTTTTTTTTTTTTTTTTTTTTTTTAAGATGGAGGAACAAGAACAACACCTAGTATTTAAAATGTGAGAACATTGTCCAGTGACCTAATAGGATTATTTATGAATCTGTTTATTTCCTAATAATTCCTACTGCTGTATTTGAGTGGTTTTGACAGAATCTGAGGAAGGAGCTTGTGTTTTCATAGGACTCTATGCTTAATCCCACATAAATCTCTCCTGAAATAAAATAGTTATGGAGACTCTATTGTTCTGTCTGTTACTTTGGGATTGTCTTTCTCTGTCTTCCCCTGACACTGCCCCATATATCATTGCTGAATTTCACCTGTCATTTTACTGCTCAGGTATTCAGTATTGCGAAATCCTTTTACAGCTCTCCATAGCTGGCTTTTGTTTTTGTTTTTGGTGGATGTTTTTTTCATTATGAATACTTTACTGCCATAAGCAATCTTTGTCACCAGTTTATCCTTTCTTCTTTCCAAGTCACTAACAGATACATTTTCTTGAGCAATGGCCTCTCTGATGTTCAGAATATATTTATCCAGAAACCAGTACTAGCTGGGAAAGCAATGATATGCTGTATAGGGCATTGCAGGAACAGGGAAGATAGCTCCTTCTCCGAGGAGTTTACATCCAGTACATTTCCTACAGTGAGGTGGGAATTTATAATGGTAGTTTCTTTCTAATCTTCTTTCTGAGATATTGTTGGATATTAAAGACTTAATGAGATATTTGACTTCTAAGCTTAGATTCTCTTTGTTATTGCTGCTGGTTTTGTTTTCCTTGATTTTGTGTTCAGAATGTGTGTCCACTTTTTGTTTTCTTTATAAGCAAATGCATCGAGTCAATGGGTAATAGGCTACTTCAAAGTACAAATTGGCTTCATTTATTTCAAAGAAAAGTCTAAAATTTATTTACTGTGTACTTCTTACACTGCAACAACAAAAACATTAATATCAATTGTACTTTCTCTCCTTTCTCATTTATGTTCCAGGCAACTTAGGCAATATGTAAGCTAGTGCAGTGTGCAGTTCAGCACTGTGAAAGCAGGACTGTGTTATGAAGTAGTTGATGCTGAGATAACGTTCACAATATGGGTATTTAGACTTCAGACAGGTGTTTAGTCTGGTACTCAGGGCTGAATGTTCTGTAGTGGTTGGAATACATTAGGTGTGCTTATGAACCATACATTCTGTTTTAGTGTTACTGAAAGAAAATTCAGTCCCTGTGTTCTGAGATCAGTCTATGAACCGTGCCGGATAATGATCTATAGGGATTTGCTATAGAGACTTCTCCTGAAAATCTGGGGGATTAATTTCAGGTTCACACTGCTGTTCTGATCTGAAAGGTTCATACAGGTAGATATATGGGATGTTTTCCTTTCATTTTGAAAAAAATTTCAGATGTCAGTTTCTGCTTCACATCCATTAAGTGCTGTTTTCCAGATTTGTAACTGATTATTTGCATGCAGACATCTTGTGTTTAAACTAACTTTATTTGGTCTGGTTTTGAACTAAATGATTGAAGTCACTCTGAACCCAAGCCATGCTATGATTTTGTAAGTTACATGGGGCTCTGAATGTGATTTTAGTAGTGACTGCTTAATTCTATTTCGTTTCATTTTAGGACATTTTTGCGAAGTGATTTCAGTGTAGGATATGATGGTGGTACAGAGAATACTGTCCCAGCACTGAAAGTTGGTCTTGTAGTTAACAACCAGACTAATGGCTGGAGAGTCACTGGTCAACTGCATACCCTGATTATGACTCTCTGTATGTCCTCATGTAAATCTACAGCTGTTCTGCACTCTCTGCCACATGTAAAATACTTTTGCTATCGGCATATGTAGTAAAACAGATGTATTCTGAAACACTTCACATGTATAGACTGGCTGGTCACTGCAGGTCAGTGGCCAAGAGATGAGTTCTGGAGACCATAGATACCTGAAAACGCAGTGGGAATAGCTCAGGGAGGTAGTTAGCAGATTAAAGCCCAAGTCATGGGTGCTGGCAAGTCTGTTTAGGTACTTAACTTCTATTGATTGAATGAGGAATTAGGTGCTTCAGAGCCACAGCAGTTTGTGCCTCAATTCCAATTCTATGAAATGGAGATAAGAGCACTTTCACACTTCACAGGAGTGGCATGACAGAAAACGTGCTAAGACTGTGATGTGCTTGGATATGGCAGTGATGAGGTCAGATGTGTTCCTTGTGCAGGTAAAAAGAGTTATATGAAACTAGAGTGGATCTTGATTAACAACTTGCCTTAGAGACACAATCCAAAGTCAATGAAAAGACCTATTAACTTCAAAGAGCTGAGATCAAGCCCATTGATTTGTGTTTATTTCTGCTCTAGTTACTATAGTCCTATATATTACTATATACTATATATCTATATACTATAGAATGCTGTACTGTGATATTTTCACATACTAATATAAACAAAATCCACCTATAAAGGAAGTCATAAAAGTAAGAAAAACATAATTTCTGATTCAGGGTACTCAGTTGATAAGCATTAACCATAGAAACATTGTCCCGGAATTTTTTCCAGTAACAAAAAAAGTAAGTAACTAATAAACATCACTGTTTATTTTTGACTTAACAAGCTAGATAGGTAGCTTATTGGAAATAAATGGTCTATGTATTGATGCTTTGAATATTAATGCTTTCTCTGTACCCTCTGTCACGTAATCTTCAGTTTAGAATCCATATCAGTGATATACTTGATGTATTTGAAAGTATTAAATTAAAATATGAATGTTTAATTTTAATGGTGCATGTTTTCATTGTAAGATTTCAAAAGCAGATCAAAGATACCAGAAGGAGATAGTGCCTTTAGGGTTATGATGGGAATATTATCCTATTTTACATTAAAGATAAAGTATGGCAAGGCGGTACAACTTGTCTAAGGTCACTGAAGATACTAAATTCTAGCAAGTTTGAAGGAAACTCCTAACCTTCCAAGTCACAAGCCAAATCGTTTTTCTAGACATAGATAAAAGCCTCTGGCGGTTATCCAGTAATGAAGGACATAGGTGTATTTATACCTTCACATACAGCTAATTAACATCTGTGTCTATCGAGACTTATGGTCCTCTATAATTCATAGGTTACGAGTTGTTGTACGTAACTCCACCTGCCTAACTAAAGACATAGAATTGAAAAGTGTGTTTTTGCAGTGCTTGAACCAGGTAGGAATTTACTCTGAGAAATGGGTATGGTCCTTTCATTTCAGACTCATCTAAAGATGGATGAGCAACAGCAGCACCAATACTTAAATAAATGAATGAAATTAAATTTAAATGATACTAATGATTAAAGGCTTTAATACCTTCCCAGGCAAATATTCAGAATTTTTCATGCTTGTCATTCATAATCCTTCATTTCCACACCTGATGGGTACTATTTCCTGCTTGTTGAAATACTAAGATGATCTCTTTGTAATATTCAAACCTATATATTCTCTCTCATGCAGAGATGTGTAAGAGAATTTTCTCATTCTCTCTGATTCATCAGCAATGCAGACCAATTAATCCCATAGAGAGAAGCAACTATGACAGCTGCAAGCCATGTATCTTCACTCTTGGACAAAGCTAGGAAGCAACTTTGCTGTGCGGAAATTATTTGTGCAACAAGTGCATCTTTTAATTCACAGCGTCATAGAAACTGGAAATGCAAAGAACCCACAGCATTGTCAAATGTGTTCTCCTGACAAAGCAAGATATTCCTTGCAGACAGAGAAGTTGTAATGTTTATGCAAGGAAACTGTCATCTTCTCTGAAAATTCTGTGATTTTTCTGCCCCGTCCTTGGAGGTATTCAAGGCCAGATTGGATGGGGCCCTGGGCAGCCTGGTTTAGCATTAAACGTGGAGGTTGGTGGCCCTGCATGTGGCAGGGGGGTTGGAGATTCATGATCCTTGAGGTCCCTTCCAACCCTGGCCATTCTGTGATTCTGTGATTTTAACAAATCTCACTGTTAGAGTTTGTTTCGTTTGTATGTTACTTTTACTCCTCCCTACTCATTTTTTTTTTTTTTATTTTCTGAACACCTTACTTTTAATCTGCTACTCCAAAATATCATTCATGAAGTCCCTAACAGCCTATTGTGACTGTCTAGTAACTTATTCTTACTCTTATGTCACAAACCTCAGGTTTGATATTTTTTTTTCTTATAGCTGAACATATTATCTGGGTCTGTGTTTACAAGTGATAGTTATTTTCCCTATTTAATTGTACATTGAATGTTTATATATATAGTTCAAGTACACTGTTTCCCATACTGAAAGATTGGCTGCACTTAGTTTTGATACTGCATTGAAGCATATTGAAACAGACATATTTATTAAGATTATCTGAAATTCCTCTCTTCTGACTCCTTTTCAACACTGTATTTTGATCTTACTCTTCTGTACAGATTATGCTGTTGACTGATCCAGAGGTTGAGAGCAGCTTACTGATTAGTACTGATGAAGGTGCCACGTATCAAAAATACCGTCTGAACTTCTACATTCACAGTCTGCTCTTCCACCCAAAGCAGGAAGACTGGATCTTAGCATATAGTCAAGATCAAAAGGTAAGAATGGTTGCCAGCATTTTGTTTTATTTGCTCTCTACTTAACTGTTACAGAGAATTCAGGACAGTCTTGGGGATAACTGAGCTGGTGTTTCCAGTAGAAGACATTGAGTAAGCCGTGATGCCTGGAACAGTCTGCCCAGAGGTCATGGAATCTCCTCTGGAGATACTCAGAGCCTGCCTGGATGTTTTCCTGTACAATCTACTGTAGGGAACTTGCTGTAGCAGGGGATTGAAGTAGGTGATTTCCAGAGGTCCCTTCCAATACTGTGATCTGTAAGACATAGGTAAAGGATATATGCCTGACTTGTCAGCCTGCCTTTATTCATTGGTCCTGTTTGCAATATCATGTGACAGGTAATGGGAAGAGAATTCAGCTGGGACCCTTTGCAATAAGCAAAGCAACCTCTAATGTGACTACTACTCCTCATAGTCAATAGTTCTCTCACTCTATTCTCTCACTCTATTCTGGCACTTGTTCCAAGAACAGTATAAGACATTGCTTGTTCCTATCTGGTTGGCATATTTTCAAAGAAAAATGTAGCAGTGAGTCAATTTCTTTTGAAGGCCAGTTACTTCAGCATGGGCAGTCCATCTGCTGAATAAATTTGCTGGGAAGTTTCCCTTGATTTTCTGATGTTCAACTTGAGATACCAGAATGAGACTTAACTGTAAGAGACCTCTTTGTTAGCAGTTTCTGAAAAACACACATCAACATGCACAAGTCAGTCACTTCCTTTGAAGAACCTTATAGACCTAAATCTGTGTTGTACTCCAAAATCGAAATTGAAGGGAAATCGTAAGAGGGTGTTGGAGTTGTTTAGTTTGGAGAAAAGAATGCACTGGGGAGACTTTATTGTAATGTTTCAATACTTAAAGAGGCTTATACAAAGGGTGGAGAGATTTTAATTTTACAAGGGTCTGTAGTGATAGAACAAGTGGTAATAATTTTAAACTAGAAGTTTTAGAGTATAGAGATTTAGGTTAGACATAAGGAAGAAACTCTTTACTGAGCGTAGTAAGACAGGCTGCTCAGAGAAGTTCTGAGCAAAATGTTCAAGGTCAGATTGGATAGAGCCTAAAGCACCTAATCTAGTGGAAGATTTCCCTGCCTATAGCAGGGAGGGTGAAACTATGAGACATTTAAAGATCCCTTCCAACTCAAACTGCTTTGTGATTTTATGTTGTTGTGCATAAATGTCTTTTTTCAAGGGGAAGACAGCATTTGAGTAAGCTTTTTGATCTAGCAAAAGAATTTGTAACTGGGACTGATGACTGAGAGTCAATGGTAGAGTCACTGTGAAGTGTCTGAGCACTGAAGCAAACTGTTCTCAGAAGTGGTGGATTTCATGTGCCAAGTTTTTGGTGTTTTTGAATAAAACTGGAAAGCAGACCTAAACAATTCACTGAGCTCCCAAAAGGGATAACAGAATGAAGTATTTTGGCACAGCCATCTTTTTGGTTTACAAATAAGTAATCTATAAGGCTTTGAATCTAATCAATAATGCAAGTTTTGGATAAATTTTTAGTTTATACATTAATGTAGATATCAACGTGAATATTTGAATACGAAGATGTGTTCCATGTTAGCATTTGAATTAATTATATAAGCATTAAACAGCCATTCTTCCTTTTGCCTAAATTAGGTTTGTAATTACAATAACTGTAAGCCTGAGAAAATAAATTAATTAACTGAGGTCACAGTGAGTTTACGAGAACTCTTGGAATGAACGTTCAGTCCTGTGCTTTAAGCACAGTACCATTCAAGCCCTGTAGCTTTCAAAATTGAACAGGAAATGCATTTTTCCTGCTTAATTCAATTCTACACCATATAGAATAATGCTGAGTGTTGTGTGCACTCACCTTTCTCATAGCATTTTGGAGATTGTACCATGGTTGTACTCTGTTTCAGAGGAAGGTGTAGATAAAGTGATTAATAGATGTTCAGTATGAAATTAGGCAAAATAGAAATGTTTTCTTTCCCCTGTGGCTGATGAATTCCCCAGGCTGATATGAAACAGAACAGAATTTTGTCTCTGCTGCCTTTTAGGACCCTTTGGAGTTAAACTTCCATGTGTCAAGAAAAGGAGACTTATCATGTAAGCATCAATGAAACTTCTAGTCATAAATTTGTCAGATAGAACTAAGGTGTAGCAGAAAATGAATTTCAGATGTTATAATCAACATCCTGTTGAGAAAATAATTCTGAATTAGAGTCTGTACAGCTAATACTCATCTAATATACAGTAGATCACAGAATTACAGAATGGGCCGGGTTGGAAGGGACCTCAAGGATCGTGAATCTCCAACCCCCCTGCCACATGCAGGGCCTCCAATCTCCCCATTTGATACTAGACAGGTTGTCCAGGCCCCCATCCAATCTGGCCTTGAAGACCTCTAGGGATGGGGCATCCACAACCTCTCTGGGCAGCCTGTTCCAGCACCTCACCACTCTCTCTGTAAAGAATTTCCCCCTGACATCCAACCTAAATCTTCCCTCTCTCAACTTAAAACCATTTCCCCTTGTCATGCCATTATCTTCCCTTTCAAAGAGTTGAGTCCCCTCTTGTTTGTAGGTTCCCTTGAGGTACTGAAAGGCTGCAATGAGGTCACCCTGCAGCCTTCTCTTCTCCAGGCTGAACAAACCCAGCTCCCTCAGCCTTTCTTCATAGGGGAGGTGCTCCAGTTCCATGATCATCTTTGTGGTTCTCCTCTGGACCCTCTCCAACAGCTCCCTCTCTTTCTTGTACTGGGGGTTTCAGACCTGGACACAGTACTCCAGATGGCTAACAGCAAGTATAATTTCATTGTTCCACATGAAACTCCTACTCCTTTCTTTTTATTCAGAATTGTAAAAAACCCAAACTGGATGTAGAAACAAAGCTCTCTTTTGTGTGTTAACCTGAATTTGTGGAATGTGTTTGAGATGAGTACGTATGGTGCTTTTGGTGAGAGGATGCAGGATAATTCTCTTTGTGTTAGGGCATTGATTAGCAAATTGGATGACCATTGAGAATATAGTATCTTTGCTGCAAGAAGAAAATAATATTGCAAAAGTCTATATATCTGTATTAATTAACTCTAAAGTAGAATTTTGAAAGTCCTTCATGTATGTGTGACTCATAGGCCTGTTTTCCACTTAAAAGCCTAATGGAAATCCTTTGTGACTTCGGTGAGCTTGCAACACAGAGGGTAACCAAAAAGAGGAGTATTGACCAACTTGGACTTAATTAAATGTAACTCAAACTAAGGCTCAAATTCTGTCCATGCCTAAGTGTAAATGGCTCCCTTTGGTTTCATTCTCATATAACCAGAGGCAGAATTCTCTCAGAGTAATTGTGTAGTCCTGTGACAATGAAGATAACTGCAATGGGAACTATTGGGCAGTTTGGAACAAATGATGTTGCAGTTTGCTAGTTTGTGTTCTTTTGTTAAGACTGTATTTAAGGAAAGAGAACTTTTACTCTTTGGATTTCAGGCACTGTGTGCACAGTGATCAAGGATTACTTGAGGAAACAGAGGAAACATATCTGGATGGTAAGAAATTGGCATTATCGTATCACAGACTTTGATGCCATGCATGAAGTTGAAGAGGCTGTAGAGGTTTCAGATTCATTTAATATTGCTCTTGGCAGTCAGAAGGAAGTTAAGAGTCAATTAGAAAGCATGTTTACATCCTTCCAGCAAACAAAGTTCTCATTACATCATTTGCATCTTGTCATTGTAGCAGGTGGAACCAGGAAAATCAGATGGTGAATAGAGCAAGTGCTGAAGAGGCAGGAATCAAATTGGGAATGAACTGTGACTCTCAGGAGTGGTTCAAATAGTTTAGTACTGATTGAGGGCAAATTCAACAAGTAGGGCATGCCTCTTATTGCTTGACTGTAATGAACAGGAAATGGGTCACAAAGCATCATCTCTCAATCTCTTCATAGCCTGCTGAGTCTATCACTATGATAAGCATCACTGATCTTTTTTGTTTGGTTGAATTGAGATTTACTAAATAGTAGGGAAGTCTGTGTTAACTGAAATCATTTTACAACCCAGTTTCTTGCGTGTTGTGTGCAACTGAATGTTGTTAATTACTGGAGTTCAGCTGATGAGCCATAACTCATTAAGCTTCAGTGACTTGGTTGCTTTTGTTCACATCTCTCCTCTGTGTCTGCCTTGGGCAGCAGACTTGAATTGCCGCTGCTGACAGGCCAGTCGCTTATTCAGTCATGAGTTTTTCCTGCCAGTCTTGAGGAAAAAAAAAAAGAGTGGCAAACCATCTGCCATCTGCACTAATTGCTTCATGATTGCATTCATTGTTCTGGCTGAAAGTACAGTTGTTACATGGCTGATTCTTACCACGTAATTGCAGAACTATTGCATGCTCCTCTATTTTCTGTACAAGAGGAGTTACAAATCGGGAGGAAACTTCAGACGCTATGAAGCATTGCTTGTGAGGAGAAAACTTGTTGGAGGTCTTGTACGTGTGAGCTCTCATGGGTTTAATCAGCTTTCCTGTAAGATGAGGGCTGTATTTTGTGGGAGTATTAGTTATGCATTACTGTGTAATCTTCAAAAGTAGTTTGCTATGCAGTCAGAGGGTGGGATGTAAGAGCCTCTACTTCATGTGGAGATGTCTTCTGCTATTCAGATGGGTCAGACAGCAGAGGAATGGTTGATAATCAGCCATGAATAACAGAGTTATTTGGAGAGATAAAGCATGGGTGAAAGAGGAAAACAGAAGTCAGATGGGTGAAATGCGAAGTTGTAATTATCCAGCATTTCCTTTTTCTTTTTTTTTCTTCTTCTTTCCTTTTAGCCTTTCCCAAATATCTGATTCCATCTAACTTTGAGAATTATTCTACTTGGAACATAATCAAATCAGGGACTTCCAGAGGTTTTCCTTTCAGCCTAATTTGTTCTGTTCCTGTTTATACCTTCTCTATCTCAGTGGTATCAGTCACTGCATACAAAAGCCACAGAAAGATAAGTGAAATCCAACTTTGTAT